CACAACCGTAACAATGTTTTAATTTGTCTTGTCTGAGTCGACCCATGGCATCCTCTCGTGTTTTTGCGTAATAGAGAGATAAAAGTTTACTTACAAGTCTTTCAGAATGTTGACCGAAGGAGAGGAAAGGTTATTACTGAAACGACAGGAAAGGTGGTGGTAATCTTAACACGACAGACTGGCCACAAATACATTGGTACGAGAACAAACACTAATACCATACCTCCACACAAACAGTCATCCAGGCAGACAATGGCTAGGGGAATTCACTGGCAACCTATAGAACTACCAGCATGTCCTTTCCTAAACACGAACATACTTGGATAATAAACAAAACTCGAAGCTAACCTACAGGCTCCTCACAAGCTAGGAATCACAACAATAAAATATCAGATTGAGTTTATCTTAATCAAAAATGAAAATAATAATACAAAACATATGAAGACATTACTTAGTATTACGTTAGTCATGAGACACCCACCTCAGTCCTGTCGCCCACACCCCGTTATCTTACTTACGTTACATATCTTCTAACATATCACCTTACTTAAATATATTCTCTTCTATTTACTTACATAATTCTCTTGGTCACGTGTCACCACCACCAGGTTACCCACATTTCATTTTCCTTTGATAGCTGTAGTTTTTAATTAGAAAGATAAGAGCGGACTAATACAAAACGTGATATTTAGTGTAATAATGAAAAAAAATCTTATTGTTAAATCAAAACTCATTTCTCAGGCGTTGTATGTTTAAAATTCTCAAACTTGTTCAAATGGAATCATACATTTGACTTAGAACAGTCTGGGTGATAAAATATTTCTTGCAATATACAGTATCGTCTTACCTTGACTACCTGGATATTGAGCCCTGCTGTTGAACACGTCAATCGCTTCAGTGACATTAGGCTCTGTTGAAGGGTGTTTAAGGGTTTGTACCCATTAAAATGTTTAATTATTGATGTCTGGTGTATCATTTAGTCTAAGAGCAAATACTGCACTGTATTTAATGTTCTTGGGTGTTGACGCTGTACTGTTTTGTAGAACGTCATTACAGCCGATGTTGACGTTTAACTTGTTAGTAGTGGAGGGGAGAAGGATCCAGACCTATGTTTTTTTATTACATCTGAGCGAGTTGGTACTTCTTAACATGTATTGTATGTGGCGGCCTTCATGTCATATTAAGCAACAAAGCAATTCCCAGATGCTTCTTGTATATTTTTTTAATTTGGATTTTGAGACATTTGTGCCATTTAACCGACTGTTAAAAATATATTGTCTTTTAAGTGGCACATTATTGACAGTGATAATCTGAAGTATTGAAGAAAGTTCAGTACTGCATAACTTTATTCCAGGAAAATTGGTTCATTGTTAATATTCCTACTTATATGTGTTCTTCACCTCCCCCCACTATTCTTGAGGTTTTACGATTCATTTTCCCAAAGGCCCACTCACACCTAACCCAGATGGAAATTGTCCAAACCAGTGAGTCAAGTTAACGACACATTATATCACACAACAGTTCCCCTCTCTCTAGAAAGACAGTGGAGTCGTGCTTAGCTACACTGTAAAAAGCATAATACCCATCACGGCGTCACATATCGTCTGTCTCCGGATATTTTGCATCAGAATATGTCTGGTTCCGGCCTTGGTGTGAGCGGGCCTGAATCTTCTCCATCTCATTCTTCTCATTTACTCCCTCTGCCCGACTCCTTAACCCCTCTTTGCACTCACCACAACCCCTTTCCATCTTCCCCTAACAGCAGCGTTCACTCACAATTTCTTTGATTTCTGTTAATTTATACAGCTCATTTCCATAATCCCACTGCAGTCTTGGTCATCAACTTGAGCTGTACTAAACTGAGAGCTGTTTTTGGCATCGTTCCAGTTTATCAATCTGGTAAACGTAAGTCATTTTCTTCACAACTACCACCTCTGCTTCACCACCAGACAGCAGGTGTGTGGTAGTACTGTACTGTACTGATAGATGTCACCACCAACCCAGTACACTTGTTATAGTTCTAAATCACCATCACTGCAGGTAAAGGGAAGTCACTGATTTATGTCAAATGGCCGCAGTGAAATTAAACAAGGATTTGTGATGTATTCTGTTCCTGAAATGGGCAATAAAAGTAAGCCACATAAAAAAAGATTCTTAGTAAATTTGTAAGTAAGAGTTTATTACTGAGCACTGCTGTTAGCGAAGTCATATGCTTGTGTTTATGTTTCAACTGTCCTAGTACATTTTAATCCATTTCACAAATGTTTGATGATTTTTTTTTACGGGGATTAGCTCACCCGGGCACAGGTCACTGACCCACATGGGGGGCCTGGGGGACGAAAATGTAATAATAATATTAACAATAATAATAATAATACAAAAATGAAAAAAAGATCAAAAGTGAGAAACAATATACTGTATGTATGTTGTGTTGTCAATAGTAAGTGAAAAAATTTAGACCCTGCAATTGTGTGTAAATGAGGCAGAGTCAGATCACCAACCTGGAACTTGGTCACAATTTTCGTGATGCCATATGGCAGCAGGGTCTACCATTAGACAACACATTATACTTCCAATATCATCCCAGGGGGTAGTACCTCCCTGTTTGGTATACACTTCTTATGAGCCCTCCACCACACACCCAAATATTTAATACTGATGACAATATACACTCTATTGAATGATAAATTAAATAAATTGGCAAAATTAATTATTAGAGGAATGTATTTTTTTTTTTTTTTGGTTAGTGTGATCCTTGTGAGTCTCGTGGTGCAGGAGTCTTTGCACCAGGAGTCTTTGTCTAAATTCAAGATAAGATAATTAATGAAAATAATGCACTTACCACCATAATAAGGGTGAGCTATGAAAATGGTCAGCCATACCTAATTTAATTGATAATTTCACCATTTATCAGCTTACTGTACTAACAGTTTGGATTCTTCGTGATCACCTTATTATCCAGTGTCAGTAGAGAAGGAAACTGTGATGCTTGGTGGGAGTCACACTGGATATCACTCTTCCCACATCTGTCCCGGGCCAGGACACGGTATTGAGACATACACACATTACCACTGTACCACAAACATGTTTCCTATAATCCTGCAATAGCATAATGTGGTACAGTACTGTATCTGAGAAAGCCATTTTTGTTTCCTGCCTACAGTACAGTACAGTACAGTACCCCTCAACACAACCATTAACAGTGGTACAGTAGTATTCATGTGTTCTCACCCTTTGTTATACACAAAGTACAACTACAGTAATGTAGGGTATTTTTTAATGATGACATATTGGCAAAATCTCTCAAGATTAACTTTCGAAAACTGTTATTATATGAGTGTAAATATTAATGATTCACATGGCTGCATACATAACTCTGCATAGAGTGAGAAGTTGCACAACAGATAGTTGACAAATATACTTATACAGTATTATTCAAATAAACCTTCATTTACAAACCAGCTGAGGAATTCTTCAGTTCATCATAATTTCACTTTCAACAAGTTTTTGAATTCAGAATCAGGTGCCGGTACAGCATAAAAAAATACAGTTATACTTGATACGTTTTATTGTTTGGCTGCGTACAGTCAACAGATGACAACATCGAAAGCTACACTTTCCTCAACCACTCCTTCCCACCCCTCGCCTCCAACCAATTGTGTTCATCCTTGTGAGTGAGTGTGTGTGTGCATACATTTGTGTGTACATCCATGTTGATGTGTGAGTTTGTATGGATGATTCCAATATATATATATATATATATATATATATATATATATATATATATATATATATATATATATATATATATATATATATATATATATATATATATATATATATATATATATATATATATATATGTATATATATATATACATACATAAGTGTGTGTGTCTGGGTGCATGTTTGTTTGTACATTTGTATGCTAACATACATGAACTTGTATGTGCAAGTGTGCTGGCAGCTTGTACATGCATACAAGTCTGCATATGATTATAAATCATAGACACATACACACATACATGCACACACACATATAAATGCTAAGGGTAAGGGTATTTGTCCCAGGCTGAGTGTGGGTACAGATGATAGATTTGGTTTTGTTTACTGTGTTTAGTGTGAGAACCTGTTATCATGTATGAATAGCCCTTTATGTGGTGTGTAAATTACTTGGTTAACAAAATATGCATACAACTATAAGTGTCCTGAGATCAGGTGAGCCTACCGAGGCTCCTCTCAGCCTCCGACACTTCCGGCAGTCTTGAGACATTCTCCCGTCCACTGTCGCTTCCCCTACTCGTGCCAACTCAGAATATGCAAGACATAACAAAGATAACTCATTTGCGCTCTGCAACACAACAAAAGTATTATAGAGATCATTGGCAACACTGGCAACGAAGATTTCCCAGGTATTTTTAAACTTTTATATTCCAGACATTTGCCAGACGGGGCGAGTTCTGACCCAACCACACAAATGATCATCTGTTGATCCTGATCTTCCCCCTTCGGCCCATGAGAGTGGCAGCACAGGTATATACTCTGTCTAGACCACCAATCACAAGCTCACTTATGAGCTAATCAAGTTACTCTATACGTGAGAGTTTTCCATCCTTAAAAAGAAGCCAATAGTGTATTTTCTTACACTGCAAACCAAAATGACGACCACGCCGAGCTTATATTTAACTTAAATTAAGTACAGAAAATATAAAATCTCCATATGTACCTACAACACCACTCTTCCAATCTCACAGACGGCGATGCTTCGTCATTTTGGTACTTCATGACATAAACTCCTATACACTATATACAACAAGGAATACAATATTCTCCATGGAACTCAAAAAACAAACAACACAGAGGAACTAACGTACAAGCTCTGTATAGTATGAAACTAGACTACTATGTTTATCTACGGTAATTTCTTATGCCTTCCCGGGCTAGATGGACTCTACACATTTATTCCTTATCATATCTCCAGGATAATATAAACTATTAACTGACACCAACAATGAACTTCTCTTGCATCAAATTATCTTTATTCTGCCAATTATGCATCTCTGGCTGTCTCAACATTACATTCAAAATCAGGTTAACTTTAAGTTGTAAGCTTTATGTAGCTTCCATGATAATTCTTTATCATTAATTGCCAATTTATAATTTTCCCTTTTTGAACATCAAAATACATCAGTTTCTGATTAATAACACATGGTAAACAAAATTGGATTTGCATTTCAGATACAGTATAAAAATATATATAATGAATAAACTTTTAATTTTAATTTATGGCATTATAGATTTGAAGCCACCTTTCTTTGAGGCTAGGTACAAGCTGTTGACCACATACACTTTTAATATTCCATAATGTTTACACTTACAATATAACCTCACTTATAACTCTACACAGACACATCATCAGATTGTTCACTCACAAGCCTTGTTATGAATGTTGGAAGTTTACTTCATTATGTGCATCACAAATTAATTTGTATAGAAAGAGAGATTAATAATATCACCAATGGAGTGGAATCCTGTAACTTATTACATTTTTCAGTGGAGAAAAATGGCAGTTTCATTGTTTATTCTTGATGTAATTGCGTGGCAGATCTGAGTTAAGTAAAAATGTTTGAATTTTGAGAACACTGTAGTTTTAGATTTCTTGGCTGGTTAGCACATTTAATATATGTCCAGATGCTATTATATTTACACTATAACATTATTATTTGAACAACATACATTACTGTATTGGAAAACAGTAGGTTTGTATTATAAATGAATTTTAGTTTTTATCTCCAGTTATTCACAGTATTTTTCAGTACAGTAAACCCTCGAAGATCCGGACCCGGGAAATCCGGATTTTGGTAGATCCAGACAATAAATTTTGGGGTTCTGGGTTAAGAAGTGTCCTAGAAGTTTCCCTAAGAAGCATTCCCAAACCAGAGCAAAGAACATTTTAGGCATGTGGGCGTTGCTTGACCCATCAGATGCTTGGACACGGTGCCAGAGGTGGGAAACATAAACCGAGTTGACAATTGTTGTTTGTGGGAATATTATATAATTCACTCTAGTAATGACACAATGTTTCTTATTATGTTATCATAGGTAAATGCCTGGTTTATATATGGTAATTTGTTTATCACTACATTAGTACTGTATTTTTGGTGTTTCTTATATCATTTATTATTTGCCGGAAAATCCGGACAATCGGCTTTTCCGGGCAGGTGGTCCCCCTTTTAGTCCGAATCTTCGAGGGTTCACTGTATATTGTATATAATAAACATATTATTAGAACAGGTTTCACAGTCCAAGTGAATTTTCTTATTGTAAAACATTAAACTCAAGTGCTTTCCCAGTTTTCATTTCATACAGCACTGTACAGTACATGAAAAGTTATCAATGTTTTTCAACTCTATTTCAGAGTCATGCTACAAATCCTGCCAGTAAAGTCCAAAGGGATATGGTGAAGTAATTTCTATAATGAAAGCTTAGCATAATCTTCCAAACATTGGTCATTTTACTCAAATGATATTGGTACTTTTGCTTATAGACCAATTGCATGTTTTAATCAAATATACAATTCCTTACACAACGATGTCATTTAAAACAAGTCTATGATAACATCAAATTTTTAACAGAAACAATTACACTGTTACATAATTCTACATACAGAATATTTATATAGCAGTTCTGAAAAAGCTTTCCAGGGAACTTGATGCTTGGCTATTGGTCTAACTTCCAAGTTTACAATATGTTAAACAAAGTTGAATTTTATAATGATGAACTCATACAAACTCAAACTTATATAGTAAAAATATGATATTTAATCATTGGCCATCTCATTACCTCTGTCAATAACCCATAACATCACATATACAGTTTTACACACGATGCTCTACCACATTTTTTTGCATTAAATACCAAGATTTTGAAGATTAATAATAAAAAAATACACAATAAATGGTAGATAAATAACTACTAATTACCCACTTTAATAATAATAATAAACATCAACACAGCCAATTAATATTAAAAAAAAAAATAATATTAAAATGGTTCAAATGCTTGACTGGGTTCACTCCCTTCATAACAAGAAGCACATGCTGACAGGAATTTAGGGAGTGAACCAAGAGACAGAACCTGATCTCATATACTGTAAGAATCACCATAGAATATTTTGCATCAAACATGAACCAGCATATGGAGACTATCATACATGACCCAATATATTGAATCTGGTGTGGTATATGAATCAGCGTAAAGCATTTTGTTATCATACATGATCCACGGAGGAGACTTTGAGGTCACACACTAACCAGAACCAACATAAAGGATCTAATTTCAATACATGAATGATACAGTAAAAGGAATCCATGTCCATATGTGATTGTGACATTATAAATCAGTCGGTACTACGATACAAAACTAACAATTCTGCCGACTGCTTCAAGGCTCTGTTTCCTAGTTGACCTACGACATAAAAAAAGTATGTACATAGGAATAATCTATTACAGTATGTACAAACGCCAGCCAGCGGAGTTTACACACAGACCCTCAGACCGTGTATGTGGTAAATGTAAGTGAGCGCTCAAGTGAACTATGTTGGAGAGCCTTGGCTGGCCAACCACTGCTGGTAAAACATTTTGATTAAGTACCATACTAATAACAACTGTATTCTGATAAATCTGTGAAATTACTAAAAACAAATTAACATTAATCACTCATCTTCCTGAACCAAATAACAAGACATATTTCAGCACAATGATATGGTTAATGGAATTAAATATGTTTACTTTACTTATATCCTCTTCACCACCGATCGGCTCGTTAACCGCTCGGGCAATCGGTCACGTCTCTGTTACTCTGGAAGATAAGTCTCTCTCTGAACTTAATTCTTGAAATGCTCAGTTTACATTCACCACATAATCAAGAGTGAGGAGCATAACGTCCACACGATGGTAAACGAGGAGTACCTGGCCAGCAGTGTAGTGGAGCGCCACACTCATCTATGTAGCTAAGGTTGGTTTATTCATTTTATCCACAAGGAATGCTAAATGTTAGATGCTAGTAAAATTTGATATTTAAATTTTTTTTGAGCAACAAGATAAGAATGGCATGATATTTACAGCCTCCACTCACATACTACAACTGTGCACAGGGAAATAATAGGTAAACAAAGTACTGTACACATAAACGTCTACTGTTCTCTGCTCACTCCTTAGCTGACTTTGTCTTCAGGTATTGTGTGTCACACTTGAAGACAGCATGTTATGAGGGACAATTTTCTCGCCACTGGTGTCTCTAATCCCATATCTTTACTCACTGGTGTCTTGGCCAACCTCCCTAGCTTGGAATAAAATTTACTTCCAAAAACAACGACCATAAAGTGCAATTGTGCAAAGTTAATACGTCTAATAATGTCCCCTGTATTGAAATGTTAAATGCACAAGTCAATTAAATGGCTAGCTAGAGGTTAGTCAGATCACCTACTGGTAAATACAGTGTGGCAACAATTATACGAAAATATAAAGAATAAGTGATGTGGCTCATCTCATCCTCACTTGAATCAGTAAGATTTTACAAATTTCAAAAAGATACATGAAAAGCACCATGTCGCTGGCGGTGTGAGTTGAGGTGAGCAAGGCAGTTTAGTCTGGCATTTAACAGCCCCATATTTAACACACTGCTGTGGTTAAACCTCTTATAAACTCAACCTGGTAGCCACAAACATTGGTGGGCAGTCTCTTGGAGTCACTAGCCCTTATTAATTATTTGAAAGACTATGGAGAAATGGATAATAGTGATCCTTTTCATTTATGCCCATAGTCAATACACAGCTGGGGTCACAGTGTCGTGCAAGAGCCTTTTTTGATGAAGAGACTGTCACTGAGTGTCACAGACTAGTCGGCGACATCCACCCTAAGCGTTGGCCGGATCCACACGCACTGCCTGCAGCGCTACGCAAGTCTCTTCCTCGTTTGCCTCTCAACATTTGTGGATAATGCACTTAACTGAGTACATTTCTCCATCATTATTCCTATAGATATATCTCTATCACAACACACTCAAAATTTTGAGTTAAATCAGTACAGTTAATACCACTTATCTTTTGATAATCCATTTTCACAACCCTTACTATAGAAAATTATCCATCACATATCCAAACTTGCATATCCACATTACAGATGTGTGGTTGTCCTCACCACAGAGTACTGTACCCCACTCCTCACTGCCTAGAACTGTGACAAGACGATGGCATCTACTGTCTCAGGCACCCTTCATGACTCTGCTTATAATCCTTGAGTAAAATGTTCCAGTTCAGGCATTTTGTTGCCTTCGTCTGATGTGGTGAGCAGAGGCAGTGTGAGGAGCTCACTCTTAATTCAGCTGATATCGAGGGCACAGAAGGTAGCCACAGGACTCCATGTTCAAGTGAACATGGTAGAGGGCACTTTACTCCTGGCTAAGTACTTCATTGTGCAGCTTGAAGTATACGCCCTTCATACAAGTCCTCATTCCCTGCCGTACCACACAGCAGATGGTTGTCTCCCTCTCATAGTGTGACCTACACCCACACCCTTCTCAGGCAGATACATTTACTATTGGTCATATTCTAGCTCGGTCATTCAGTACAAACTTGGTGTTCTCTGCAACATGACAGCAGTGTAAGCTGCGCCCTTGTACTGTATGTGGGCGTCACGGTGGGTGCAGGAGACACCAACCAGTGAAAGATGCTTCATCTGCAGGTCTTGGCCAACCGCCCACTTCCCCATCTGAAATATAAGGACAGCATTATACTTCTCATTTCACTCAACTAAAAATCACAATTAAGCTACAATACTCTTCCAGGTACTTTCTTCACTCATCTTACACTGCCACAGTCTACCACACCACCACAGTCTACCACACCACAACAGTCTACCACACCACCACAGTCTACTACACCACCACAGTCTACCACACCACAACAGTCTACTACACCACCACAGTCTACCACACCACCACAGTCTACCACACCACCACAGTCTACCACACCACCACAGTCTATCACACCACCACAGCCACAGTCTACTACACCACCACAGTCACAGTACACCACCACAGTCTACTACACCATCACAGTCTACTACACCACCACAGTCTACCACACCATCACAGTCTATTACACCACCACAGTCTACCACACCACCACAGTCTACTACACCACCACAGTCTACCACACCATCACAGTCTACTACACCACCACAGCCTACCACCACCAATGCCACAACCAACAACCACCACCACAGCCTACCACTATCACCACTACTATTGTTTTTCCCCATCTGAGAAAAGAATGTTTGTATCTTTATATAATTTAGCTAAATATCTTTCTCGCCAGAAACGGTCAACCCAACGATTGTGAATAAACTCATTTAGAAATACATCATTACTTCAGGACAAAATCGGACAGGTTTGCAACAGCCAATCAGCTGTAACTCTTGAGGAGGGGGCGGGGCATCTTTTCTCATCAGGGGAAAAAACGCGCTTTTATAGTGACTTACTACCACCTCAACCATCACTATCACCATCATTATAATCACACTATTATTACACCATCACAACGTAAATAACCACACATCATTATCACCATCACATCACTATCATCACCATGACATCACCATCATCACCATGGACAAAGTCATTCACCATCACATCACCATACCCTAAGACAATCACCATCACATCAACACCATCTCATCACCAGCAAAACCTAAGTCAGGAAGGCGTCTTCCCCAAGACGAATTATGTGATAAAAATTGCAAAACAAGATAATTAACGTGAACAAAGAAACTACCATCGGGACCCAGCCGACGAAAACACCCCTTCCCGGAACCTGGAGGAGGAGGAGGAGCTGGAGGAGGAGGAGGAAGAGCTGGAGGAGGAGCAGGGGTGAGGAAGAGCTGGAGGAGGAGCTGGAGGAGGAGCTAGAGGAGGAGGAGGAGGAGGAGGGGTGAGAAGAGCTGAGGAGGAGGAGGAGCTGGAGGAGGAGGAGGAAGAGCTGGAGGAGGAGAGGAGCAGGGGTGAGGAAGAGCTGGAGGAGGAGGAGGAAGAGCTGGAGGAGGAGGGAGGAAGAAGGAGACGGAGGAGGAGGGGAGAAGGAGGAAAGAGGAGGAGGGGTATTGGGGGGCTAGGAGGATAGGAAGTAAGAAGAGGAAGATAATAAGGAAGAGGAGGAGGAGTAGTGATAAAAGAGGTTTAGCAAATGGAGAGGAAGTAGGAGAGAGAAAGGAAAAGAAATTAAGATGGAGGTAGAAGGAAGCAATGGAGGAGGAGGAGGAGGAGGAGGAAGAAGAAGATAAATGAGGGGAGAGAGAGGAAGCGACAATGAGGGAGCGGCGAGGGGAGGAGAGAGACCTTTTGAGAGACAGGTGGGAGGGGAGAGACGGCCATGAAATAGTGATGGGAGAAGCACTGTCGATGTGGCCCATCCAGAGAGGTGGAAGAAATACCCTCACTCTCTCTCACACACACACACACACACACACACACACTACTAACTCCCATATGCATAATAAACAATAAAATGAATAAAGTATAACAATAAAATGAACAATAACAACAATAATAAACCTGTATAGATAAAATAAGATGAATTTTAACAAGTGTAATTAACAATATATAAAGGTGTATAAAGTTATCAAGGTAATTTACATCCTCACTACCAAAATAACGTTAATAAAAATCATATATCAAAAGGAAGCCGCATACCATTGGAGCATTATATATATAAAACCTATATAAAACATAAAGAGCTTAATGGCAGTTCAAGCAGCCAGGAGTTCTTGTACAGGTATGACGGGACCCCTAAGTGACACACCTCAACAGTAGATCCGTCAAGTATCAACAAATATAGCCAGTGAGTTTGCAGTAGATCCGTCAAGTATCAACAAATATAGCCAGTGAGTTTGCAGTAGATCCGTCAAGTATCAACAAATATAGCCAATGAGTTTGCAGTAGATCCGTCAAGTATCAACAAATATAGCCAGTGAGTTTGCAGTAGATCCGTCAAATAATCTCGGATAAATTTGAGAACTGAGGCGAGTAACTTATGCGTCAGGTTGTTATGGCATATTGAATAGAGAGAGAGAGAGAGAGAGAGAGATCTATATCTCAATATTTCATCTACCAAAGACGAAGGCAAAAGAGTCAGACTGATAAATGATAATAACAATATTAGGGACCAACTGTTTTTGAGCATGAAGAGGAGAGAGAGAGCAAAAAAGAGTCTCTAATTACTGAACCCATAACCTAATCTACCCATAACTTAACCTAATCCTGACCTAGGCTGCCCCTCATCTACTCTGCCGTCAACTCACCTAATCCGACTCTCACGTAAGCTAACATAATCTACATATCAACAAACTACACAAAATCAACTTGCAACTTCAGTATACAATAGGCTCCAGTACCGAGTATAGACGATACAAACCTCAGTAAGAACACATTGAACAGTAAAGATGATTCTGGTTGGTATATGGTGAAGGTTTGGTAGTGTTAACTGAGAGTACTAGGAGTGTACGAGGGACCAGTGAATACAGCGCTCGACTCCCGTCCTCAGGGTCCTGTTCACATCCGGGAGTGTGTTAAGGGTCGAATTCAGTATTACCTTAATAATAATAATAATAATAATAATAATAATAATAAAACAATAATAATAACTACAGAATAATGTACCCACTCAACTTTCAAAGGGACCATCGAGTAAATGGGACTCACAATTAATTTAAAACAAAAATCAATAAATCGATAAAATAAACGACCCAGCATTCATCCACCAGTCCACGACGTCTTAAGAAACAACCTAAAGAAAGACAACGCAAAACAAAGACTCGCTTCCCCTGATAACCTTATGGAAACTTTGCAAGATTAAAATTGACAGCAAATGCAAAACACGGCAGACAGGTAATACGGAGGATATTGCATTATTTACTGAGATTTAATGAAGTCAGTTCCAATGGCGGCTCGGGAGAGGTGGAGGGACTTGAGGGTGGTGGAGGGACTTTGAGGGGTGGTGAGGGGACCTTGGAGGGGAGGGGACTTTGAGGGGTGGTGGGACTTTGAGGGGTGGGGAGGCTTTGAGGGGGTGTGTGAGGGACTTGAGGGGTGGGTGTGAGGGAATTTTGAGAGGTGGTGTGAGGGGACGAGGGACTTTGAGGGGTGGTGGAGGGGACTTTGAGGGTGGTGAGGGATGGGTGAGGACTGAGGGGTGTGAGGGTTAGAGGTGAGGACTTGAGGGTGGTGTGAGGACTTGAGGGGTGTGAGGACTTGAGGACGGTGAGGGGGGAAATGAAAGGAAAAGAGGACGTGAAGGAGAAGAGGATGATTGAGGGGATATGATCCTTACAGCCACGACAATCACCATAACTACTACCCAATCACCACTAACTACCACCACAACTACCACCACAACCACAACTACCACCACAACCACAACTACCACCACAACCACAACTACCACACTACCAAACCAAACCACACCACAACCACCACAATCACCACAACTACCACCACAACCACAACTACCACCACAACCACAACTACCACCACAACCACAACTATTATTACTACCACCACAATCACCACAATCACAACTATTATTACTACCACCACAACCACAACTACCACCACAACCACAACTACCACAACTACCACAAAGTTTGATATCCAGGTGAATTACCGGGCCTGATAACAAGGCTAACTCATGTTACTGAAGCGACACACACACACACACACACACAAAAGGTTTCGATCATATGATATTTGTTCTAAGTTACGTTTATTTATGCATAGTGAAATACATATCTTTATAGTAGAGTCTCTGGGAAGCACGGATGCCATTTTGAATTACGTAATAAGTGATAAATTAAATGTCAGTTTAATGTCTTCATAAAAATAGGTCAGGCGATATTTAAGGTACGAGAGGTTTAATAATCTCAGGTTTACGTGTACGAGAAGTGATAAGGAGAGGGAGGGAGGAGGATTTGAGTCGTAGGCCTACCCTCACTTGTTTACGTGTTAGCCTCATCTCTACTCTATTAGCCTAATGTTATATCTGTTGGTTATATAATACTTAACTCGATTAAAACACACACACACACACACATTACTGACCTACATGTTAGCATAACCTTCATCAGTACAGCACAACCTAACCCACAATGCTTCACTCCCTGGTGCCACTAACTCTTCCTTCCATAAAACCCCTTCTTCATCTTGCTACTCCCCAAAACAATTATTTTCTGCCAAAATACACAAAATTAACGATCCCGATTCTTATTTAAAACTGTCCAGAAGAAAATTTGAGCTCCATATATCATTGTCTGCGCCCTGAGAATGGAAGTTAAGAGCTCCTATGGTGGCTTTACCTTCACTCCGCCAACGTAAACATCGCCACCTTCGAAACTCAAAACAATACTCCACGACTTCAGCTACAACAATAATCTACCCTACTCCCTCCAAATATTTATCACAAAAATATCATATACGTATTACGGACTTTTGTAAATACTAAATAATTCAATACATACGAGAGAAATATCATAGGTTTTATTGGAAAGTAATTTTAGAAACGAAGCCATTACTCAGGGTGTTCGGACGCGGCCCGAGCATCACTAGCCATCATCTATCTCGCTGGCTATAAATCAAATGCTAAAATCCAGGACCATGGCTACCGACACGCCTGTTTGTTTTGGCCCCTCATCACATCACAAAACTCCCCAGACTGACCTCA